TGTTCTGAGCCCCAGGAAGCTGATCCCCAAAGTTCATCACCAGTTTCCAAAAGAAGTCACAGACAGGAGACAGGGTAGAGAGGTCAGAGTATTTATTCCTCTCTGCAACCCTGCTGGGCTGCAGTCCTGACAGTGGCTGCAACTTTTCTGGACTACAGATCCTATCAGGAAGGCCTTCCTCAGTGGTCGAAGGGGTGCTAGTGGCTTTCTACTGTTGCTAGTCTTTGGGTATCTCAGCACCTTTCTTGGTTCCCTTAACCCTTGCTCTTTCATTAAAAAGCATCTTCCAAATTCCCAGCTGAGAATGCAGCCTGATTCCTGCAGGATCTGCCTCTAACAGAGAAAAGCAGAGAAAGCAGAAGTCAGTATAGGCCAGAAGCTGAATGGCTACAGTTAGCAGGACCCCAACCAATAAGCAGACAGAATCCAAAGTCCAGATGATCTGATAGCAGGTATTTGACAACTAGAGACTCAATATCTAGGCAGTGTCTGAATAGTAGGCATTGAGGGTGCCAGACTTTTGGACATAAGTCAAAATCTTCTGAAGTGGAGCTTATTTATGTGCATCCTGTCCACACCGCAAACGACTCTCAATATATGTGTGTGTAGGGAGCAGGTGTGAGAAGAAGGCAGGTAAGCCTGCTCTGAACAGAAGCTCAAGAAGATCAACACACACCACCAAGCTTAGCAAACATAATTCCAGGCTCATGAAACCAGAAGTTCTGAACTATGGATTTTGTGTCGGTGTGTATACTTTTCCCTCAGGGTGTGTGGGTGGGTGTGTGTGTGTGTGTGTGTGTGTGTGTGTGTGTAGGGGCAGGGGTTGTCTGTGACTCCTCTTCCTAAAGGTAGATAGCCTTTCATAAATGTTTGTGAACGTTTGCTATGTGTCAGTCACTGTTCTGACTGTTTTACTGACATCCACTCTTTTAACCCTGGCAACAGCTTCATGAGCTGGGAACTAATATTAGGCCAACTTTCCAGATGAGGAAACTCTGGCACAGAGTGATGAAGCCTCAAGTCTCACAGTGAGGAACCCTGTGAAAAGGGATTAACCTGGGCAGCCTGGCTCCAGAGCCTGCGGTCATCCTCCTCCACTGATAACTGTCTATTTATGCCTGCCGTTGGACTTGTTAAAAGAAGGTGTTCGTGTGTTTTAGTATTTATCTTCCTATGCTCAGAACCTCCCGCGATGCCTGACACGCAAAAGCTGCTTCATAGTTATTTGTTGATTAAATGAATGAACTTCTGCTAAGCGGTGAAAGCTGGGTCAAGTCCCAGGAACAGCCCCTGGAGATGGAATGATAATCTTCTTCCGTGGCATGGCGCTGCCAGGCCATCAGTGTCACAGCCCTCCACCCAACCAAGCCCTCGGTTCAGCTTTTGCTTTGGATCTTCAGGAACAGAGAAAGGCAGTGCAGCGCAGGCAGCGCCCTGATCAAACCAGAAAAACCACCTTCCTCTGCTCTGCTCGGGAGCCCACGGAGGGCACCGCTGCCAGCCGGAGCGAGGGGAGCCTCCCCCGCCCGCATGCCAGCTGCCCCGCCCGCCGCCTGCCCGCCGCCTGAGGTCTCCTCCGCCCCGCCCGCTGGGGGTGGCGGTGGAGTGAGACACCCGGGAGGCTGCTTCGGACTCTGCACCCTCGGGTGTGTGCCTCCCGCTTCCTGGAGGGCTGTTTAGTCCTCCTCCGCCGTCTATGGAAGGGGCCAGGTCCCCATCGCCCGGAAACGAGCTAGAGCTGTCAGAGCTCGAGAGGCATCCGGACGAAGAGACGCCTCTCAATGGAGCCGCCCAGGTCATCCCTTTTTCTGCTGATCCGGGTCCAGCCCAGGTAAGGTTTCCTTGGCGCTGGCGGCGTCATCCGAGCTCTCTCGGAGCCGGACTCCCCGCCAGGACCCGGCGCTGGCACCCGAATAGTGCCGGGTTTCCAGCCAGCTCTGCCCGCGCCACCGACGCCGAGCGCGGGTGGTGCGAGCTGCAAAGTTCTCAAAGGAGCGGACACTGGAATGTTCTCCAGCCCGAGCTCGGCTTCCCCACCCCCACCCTCAGACCCCTCAGATCCCTCTGGCCCCCATGGAGCTTAAGGAATCCTACCCGAGAGGTGTGTGGCTCCTCGCTTCTGAGAATCTCCAGAGAAAGAGATGGTTTAAAAGAAGTCCTGTAACTTTTAATTTAGTTTTTCTTTTTTAAATTGAGAGAACTAGAGTGATAGATGGAGTCGTTTCCTTTTCTTCAGGATCTCTTTGCTGTCTTCTTCACTACTTTTCCACTTCCACCCACCGTCCACCATCACCTAGCCTGGTGCGCATCAGCTAGATACGCACTTTCTATCTTCTTTCCGTCTGGCCATTTGATTTCACAGCAAGAGAGATGGGGGAGAGTGGAAAAAGAAGCAAGAACGAGAAGCGCGGCGAGAACTTTCTCTGCTCAACTAAAGGGAAATAATTTTAAAAGTTCTTATCCCAAAGAACTAGACTGTACCTCATTTGCTGCTTCTGCTTCATCACAATCTCTAAGGAAATCCTCGGGGATGTTTAGACTGAAATCTTTTCTGATTAAGCTCTAGCAGTGACAGGAGCATTATTCATTCTCATCAAATGCCTATAAAACAGACTTTGAATTATCAGTCACCTACCTTATGATTAACCTCTAAGATTGACTTGAGGTTTACTGTATACATGGAACTCCATATCCATATGTATGTGTGTGTGTGTGTGTGTGTGTGTATTTTAACCTGATCTTTCTGTTGATTTCAGGGATAAGCAGGGAATTCAAACAGTGAAAACATTGCTTTTGTTTCCGCATTGAGTCCTGGAAATACAGTAAAGTCTGTTCTTATAGGTACATATAAGCACCCTGGAGAGTAATTTGTTATTCTATATGTCAGTGAAAGATGAGCACCACAGAAGAATGAAAGTTGGAGGAAGATAGTCTGATCCCTGTTCAAGTGGCCACACTGTGGACTTGTTGTATCAGTCCTCCAAAGAAGTGTTTAGGAATGGGAACTGGGAATACTTGCATGATTCATGTTAGATAGACCCAAGACACCCCAAAGACACCATGGTTTGAGACTGAATCCAGAGATCTGAGTTCTAGTGTCAGCTTCACCACTAAAAGATACATCCTAGGGCAAGGTGATATAGACTGTATTTTCCCAATTGTCCAATGGTGCTTGTGTAATGTGGCTCACCTGGCTTCTCTGTGAGGCCCGGGAATACTTTGTTGAAAACAGTTGAGTAGAAGAACATGCCAAACACATGTAGGATATCAGTATTTTATAATTGCTTAGCATCTACATAGTACAGTAATTATGTCCTCCTTAGTCAGGTATATATATATATATATATACCTGACTAAGGAGGACATAATTACTGTACTATGTAGATATATATATCTCCTAGGCTTCCCTGTGAATTTGCTTTGCAGGTCACTGAATAGAAAACCTGTGGTGAGAGACCAAATGGCATGAAGGTGAAGGGTTATGTGAGCACTTGGAGGGCATTCTAGAAATGCTTGAATGGGAAAAACTTTACAAAGAGGAAAAAAGAGAAAAAAAAAAAAACCGTTGTCTAATGTGTCAATCTTTCTCTTTGGTTTTATACAACAAGTTGAACTGTGTTTTAAATTGGATCCTCAGCCATTTCAGTCAAATGACAGCTGGTTGTGTAAAAAAACTACTTAATAAAAATCATGCTTTTTTTTTTTTTAAAGAAAAGTCAATTAATGTAGAGTTCTTAAAAGTGTTGGCTATCATAAACACAGGATTCAGACTCTTAAGAATTTTGTGTAGCAGTCTCCTTAAACTATATATTAAGATTGTCAATTTTTCTATGTATGCTTAAGTCCATGTATTTTTATTAACCGTATATTTTGTACCTATCCTATGCCAAATATTTCTCATACATAAATGTATTTAATTATCACAACAAATTTCTGAGGAAGGTGTCAGTATATATTCTGATTTGAGAGATGAAGAAACTGAGTAAAGAACCTGAGGCTCAAAAGAGTTACTAAAATACTCAAGTTCAGTTAACGGTGGCTCTGAGATTTGAACTCAGGGTTTTTGTTTTGTTTTGTTTTTATACAGCTAGAGATATACCAATGTATAATTTAAATACATAAATTTAATATATAATTTATACTCATTTATGTATAACTCTCTAAATTATATATTACTAATTTCTGTCAGTTTGTAAACTTACAGAAGTTTGTTCAGGTGAGTAGCATGTCTAGAATAATGAGGGAGTTGCAGATGGGTTGGTAGATGGGTGAGGAGTAGGGAAGAGTTTGGGGATCATGGAGAAGAAGATGTCCCATGTCATAGCTCTGTCTCTACTTGGAAAAGCCGATCAGGGAGAGTACACAAAGATGTTGGAAAGAACTTTTTTCCCTTTTTTGATCGAGATTTGAGGCTTGAGGGAAAGGAATATAAGCCATTGAACTTCACTTTGCCGCTGGCACTGTAAACATGGTGATATAGTTAAGTTTAAAGTGAAAAATAAATTACTCAGTTTCCAAATAGAAGGCCTAGGGACATTTTTAGGGATGGTAACATCATTATGACAGTAATAATCCAGTACATTGATAATTTTGAGGCAGGCAAGACTTTATATGAATGAGCAAGCTAAAAATTAGCCCTATTGCTATGCGTAGTTCAGAATTTCGGACAAGAATCAACTGGCTCTTTTGTGCTTGGATCAACAAGTGGATTAAATCACACAATGAAGATTATAAAGTACAGATTTTCCTACATGCTAAGAAAATTTTCCTAGGTCTATGTAATATCCGTTCCTAATTGAGCCAAAGAGAAAAAACTTTTTGTATCCAAGAGATATATAGTCCTGCCATAGTTTAAAGACCTTGTGTCATATATTTGGACTCTTATGTGAAGAGGGATGTGAATATCTGAGGATTGTTAAGAATAACAAAAATTCTTAAGCTATGTAATGCAATCATAGAATGTAAAATTCAGTTTGCAAAAATCTCTGGATGGCATCCTGCAGGATAACCTGCCTGTGGCCTCCCCTCATGACTTAAAATTTGAGCAAGAGAGGATAAAGAAGCCAGTGAAGGAGGCCACGTGTCTCTGTGATGGGTTTTGAGGGGAGACTCAGACTGCACATTAGTGCACACCTACTATCAGAGACCTTCCACCCTCAGGGCGTAGTGGAATCTCCCAGGGACACTTCTAAAAAATACTAATTCCTTGGTTGATTCTAATGAGCAGACAGCTGAGAAGCACTGTTCTGTATTATTGGGTTGGGAGTGGCTGGCAGACTGTTTTATGATGGCTTAAAGTCTGTGAAGATTAATCATGCAGTGGATGGTGGTCTCTGCCCTAGGCTGATGACAGGAGAGGGAAGAGAACCAGGCTGTAAGATGGCAGGTTTGGGCTGGACAAGAAGAAGCATTTCCTATAGCCGAGGGCTGTGTAATTCTGAACTGGGTTCCCCCAGGAAGTCACAGAGTAGTGGCCTCCTCAAACTACCAAGGTATGAGGTTTATCATCTTTATGGGACAGCATAAGGGAAGGCACAAAAGGCCAAAGAGGTACATTGATGCTCATTCTGCGACTTATTTGAGACTCACAACTTTTTCATTTTGTACTAATCTTTAGGGTCTGGCTGCTTCTTATATAAGAACTAAAATGGCATGTGTCTTAGGAGTTCTGTAAATAGGAAGATATGGTTCTGTCCTCTGAGAAATTAAAGGTTCCTCATACTGGGACTTCTTTTCCTACTTGCTTTACTGAGCCTTTGCCTTTGGTGGCTTTGGAGCAGTTATCAGTCTTTGGGTGGGGATGAGATGTGGCTCTATCCCTGGACTCCAGAAACACTGACTTCAAGAGGGTCTTCCTCTGTCCAGATAGTCTTAAGGCCTCTATTGTTTCTTCACCCCTGACCAGGAGAGCCAGTGTAAAGGCCTCTTGGGCACTCCAAAGTGTGACCTCTACTTTAGAATTTATCAAAGTACATTCTTAAAAAGTTTGGAGCCCTCTGTGACTCAGCAGCAAACATTTATCAAGTGCCTGTTACCTGTATGATGCACAAGTGTAGGATATAAGAAAAGAGAAGTTTAAGAATCAACGTTTCCTCTATGTGGTTTCACTTTACCTAGGACGATAAGGCCAGTATCTGTTTATATTTGAATACGAAACCAGACAAGGCAGTGGCAGATGGCCTGAGTGGACAGCTCATATATTGAGACATCTCTACATAGGTGGGATGATGGGGAGACCTCTACAAAAGGAGAGATTTGGCCTGGCCCCTGAAAAGTGAGGAGGTTTCAGACCAGAGGTCTCAACACTAGTAAAGCAGTTGATTCATTTTGGGAGGTTTAAAATTATAAGCCGGGGCCTGCTCCCACTTCCCTACAGTCTGATCCCCTAGGTATAGGTTCAATTCCTTCTCAGGTGATTCTGATATGTAGCTAGGCTTGGGAATCTCTCACTGAGAAAGTCTGAACTGTAGTCCTTATTTGGATAGTTTCCTTTTCTGATGGTCACCACCAAAATCACGATAGGAGAGAAAGTGAACAAGATATCAATTTGAGAACAAGCCTCTGGAAGTGCCTGCTGCTGCTCTGTGGAATAGGTGAACACTCAGTAATGATTGTGTCCATTTGTTGAGGTCTTAATATTTGTTTAGCAAGGGCTTAATGTACATAACCTCTAGTTTTTACAATAGCCCTGTGAGCTAGATTTATTATTTATATTTTTTCTAGTTAAGGACATTGGGGCTGGGAGTTTCAGTAGCTCGCTGATCATCACCCTGCCTTTAAGTGGTATAATGGAGATTGGAATCGTGATACAGAAACACAATTTTCCCTCATCATATTCCATTGTTTCCCATGGTCTCCATGCAGAAATTATCAGATGGCTCAGTGGGAAGTCGAAGAATCATGAAAACTTGGTTAGGGGCAGATTGCAGTGTTGTGAGTGAAGGCAGCTCCATGGCAGCCAGCTTTGCTGGTAACCTGAGCTCTACACAGTGACACAGGAGGCTATGGACAAAAGAGAGAGCATGCCAGCTTTGCAGTGACACTCAGCAGAAATTAGTCCTGCATATTCTCTCTGAACTGCATCTTTGAAATGGGCTAATGCCTCCCTTGCAAGGCTGTTAGGATGAAATAAAATAGTGTTGACTATAATTATTTAATCCCACACTGTGCCTTACTACGCCCATTATAGCTTATTTCCTGGTGTCTCTCCCTTCCTTCCTTTCATTTCCCTTCCTAGGCCCTTATTAGATAGAGTCTAGGCCACAGCAGTAGCTTCTTAGCTTTGTCTTGGTATGTCTACTCTAAACTACATATCCTTTTTTTAATCTTCAGTTCAGCTTTTATGTTTTAGAACTTTCAACAAGTCTCTAGTACATGCCAAATTAAGTCCAAACTGCTCTGGCAGCATTAAAAACCCTCTCGAATATGCTCCAGGCTTTCTTTCTTTCTAATCTTATGAGTCAGATGAATCACTTGGCCACTTCCATTATAAATCAACACCGAGGCTACCCTTTCTTGTGTTTGGAAGGCTTTTTTCTGTCCATCCTTCAAAATCCTGCCTGTCCTCCCCACCTCAGAACCCCTGGAGCATTTTCTTGCTAATTTTTTTGTGAAGTTCCACTCTACCCTTTTGTAAGCTTGACTCAGAATGTAGTCCCCTGAGGTCGGGATCCTTCTGCTTTCATTTCTCTGTCACTGGCCCATACTAAGTATTCAAAAATGCTTGTTAAAACCATATGACTGCCTCACAGTCTCCCTTTGCTTTCCAGGCTAATCCAAAAAGCCCTCAGAGCTCCCGTAATAGGAAATTGATCAGAAAGTGTCTACTGTGGATGGTCTTCATTTTCCTAGTTCTCATTACAGTGATCATTAGCTTATTTCTTATTGAAGGTAAGAGGATTTAAACATGACTAAGTTGATGAATTTTAAGAAAATTGTTTAATGCTATGACTTACACTGAAATGGAAGATGTATTCATTACTATTTTATTATTTATAATTTGAATTTAAAACAGTTTGGGAATATGTTATATGAGTGGGAGACGTATGTGATTCTTGTTTGTTGTTTCTTTTGTAAGCTCCAGGAGAAGTATGGAGATCAATGTTTTACTTTATACTCTGCCCATTGGATCTTGAAGATTTCTTAAATTTTTAACTTATTTAAACACTAATTTATATTTTATTGCATCTCTGAACCTGCCTGACATTTTTTTCTTATAATTGGTTTAGTAAAAATAATTATTGTGCTTCATTTGATATACCCAGCATATTATCATTATGATAAAATGATGAATAACATATTTGAAAGTTTTAAAAACTTTATAGAACCATGTATACATAAGCTATCATTTTACAAGCTTATTTCTTATTGAAGGTAAGAGGATTTAAACATGACTAAGTTGATGAATTTTAAGAAAATTGTTTAATGCTATGACTTACACTGAAATGGAAGATGTATTCATTACTATTTTATTATTTATAATTTGAATTTAAAACAGTTTTGGAATATGTTATATGAGTGGGAGACGTATGTGATTCTTGTTTGTTGTTTCTTTTGTAAGCTCCAGGAGAAGTATGGAGATCAATGTTTTACTTTATACTCTGCCCATTGGATCTTGAAGATTTCTTAAATTTTTAACTTATTTAAACACTAATTTATATTTTATTGCATCTCTGAACCTGCCTGACATTTTTTTCTTATAATTGGTTTAGTAAAAATAATTATTGTGCTTCATTTGATATACCCAGCATATTATCATTATGATAAAATGATGAATAACATATTTGAAAGTTTTAAAAACTTTATAGAACCATGTATACATAAGCTATCATTATACAAACTTATTTTGGAAATAACTGCTTATTGTATTTATATTGTGTGTGTATACAAAACAAAAACTTACATGATGCTAACTATATATTTTACATACATTCTCTCATTTTAAAATTATTTATTGTGAATATAAAAATACATGTTAAGTTACCCATAAAACTCATCCATATTATTACTACTTTGTTATATTTTCTTTTTTGTACTTGCATTTTAAAAATAATTTGAGGTCATTTTTTTTATAGTCTTGTGGTCTACCTTTAGAATTTTAATGCATAGTGAGATCATTTTTCCAATTTATTAAAAATTATTTGTGAACATATTAAATTTTTTTTAAATTGAGGTATAATTGACATATAACATTATATTAGTTTCAAGTGTACAACGTGATGATTTGGTATTTGTATATGTTGTGAAATGATCACCATATAATCTGAAAGCTTCCTTTTTTTAATGACTGCATGAAGTAGTCTTCCACACCATTTTAAAGCCTTTTAGGTAGTTACCAATTTTTTATAAGTATCAAAATTTTTATGATGCATAAGTATAGCACCCTCCAGTGGGCAATCATTTCAATATCAAAACAGGATGGGAGAAAACTTTTTAATTTGTATGTGGGAGTGATTATAGAGAAAAGGGTCTCTTCTGGAGCTGGGATACTCCTGAGGGTGGTCCAGTCCAGTCCCTCAAGGATTTGTGTCGAGTCAGGCTCTCCATAATAAATACAGTCACAGGAAGAGAGCAAGAAGGGAACTCCCCCAACCCCCAGTCTCTCCAGAGGGGACCCTGGGATTTTCCTCAGGAACTGCGTTTGCTATTTACCTCCTGTTCCTCCTCCCCAAACTCCTTCAGCTCCTGTCTCAATGTTTAATGGTCCCTAAAAAAATACGAAAAAATTGATAACATGTGCCAGCCTCCAGTATGTGAGTTTCTTGGGCAGACACCATGTTTACTTAGTTACTTAGGCCATTGTTGAGGTGGGATGGATGATTCTTTGAGGCCATAGGCTGGTTTTGAGGTGGGGAAAAGTTAATAAGTGGTGCTACACCTCTTCCATCACACTGAAGACAATAGTTTTGGTGTGAAGCACTGATACTCCCTCTTCTCATCAACTCCCACATGTGGATGTGGAAACTAGAGTTGAGTCACACGGTCTTTTCCTATCACAATTAATTGGTGCTATCTTGAAAGTTGACTGATTTGTCTGTTGACATCTGGGGCCTATAACAAAGGATGATGCAACAGATCTGGGTGGTTTAATATTCAGGATTCTAAAGCACAAGACTCAAGAGCTATCTTCCATTCTCAAAAAGTTATCCAACCCCTTCAAATCACAAAGGGCAGTCTGAAGAGGAAGGGATTCCATTTCCCTCACCATTTTCTCAGGGAGACATGAAAGTTCACAGGATGATATTCAGGGAAGAACTAACTGTTTAACACTGGTAGTACAAACTTCACTTCCAATTTGGATATAAAAATGTGTCCTTAAAATGTTAATACTGTAAGAAAGTTTTTCAAAAGTTTACATTTTTTTTAGTTAGGGAAATACTTTTATTTTACTTGGCATTCAGCCCTGGGGGGTTTGGGCCTATGGGAGAGTCACAGTAGATGATGGGAGTTCATTAGGTATACAGCGGGTGGAGACAGAGCTCCTCTCTGTGACAGTCTCAACCTCACCCAGAACAGCTCTGTAGGCACTTCTGGATTGGCAATCTGCAGTAATCAGCTATTGCCTAATTGCCAAACCCATTGATAGGAGTCAAATATTTGTAGAACTTTTGGTTACTGTGTGGAAAAAGCTCTGTTTGGGAAAAGGGCAGTGTCAGATAGTTAAGGGCTTTACCCATGACCGTCCGAATTCACTTAGAAGTAGTGTTCCTCAGGAACGACATGTGCCATTCTCCTATTCCTTCCTTTCTTCTCAACTCCTTAATCTCCTGTCTCAGGGCGCTGTAGTCCTCAGACGAGGCTCAGTGGCAAAGGTGTTAGTAACTATGGAGCTGGAGTGGTCACAGAAGGGGACAGTACATGTACCCCAGAATGCAAAGGGTAACTAGTTGGAGAAGAGACAATGGGGTACCCAGGGCAAGGTGCCCAGTGGGAGGTGTGTCTTGTCATTGATATTGTTAAGAATGCAAGCAGAGCAACCTGTAGCTGGTTTTATTATTATTAATGTTCTGTAGACTGTGCACCCCTTATTGCCTGCACCTGGGGTAGGCTGTCCCACCACTCTGCCTTTGGCATGCCATTGAAGTGATGGCAAATTCAGTATCATAGCTCAGCTTAAGGCACTGAGCCAGGGATGCGTACACACTATGGAGGAGAGGCTAGCACGCCACCAGGCCTCATAGTGGACAATGAAATCTTTTTAAAGTGGACAATTTTATGGACAAAGCCCAGGGAATCCTGTTTTATCTGGAAGCCTGGTTTTATCTCAGCTCTTTAGGGAAAGGTTATTAATGGAGTCTCTCCTTTTCCTCAAGGAATTAAAAATTCTTTGGTATGAATGGTGAAGTAAAAAAAGTCTCTCTCTCTCTCTCTCTCTCTCTCTCTCTCTCTCTCTCTCTCTCTCTCTCTGTGTGTGTGTATGTGTGATCTTTCTGGATAATTTGGAGAACCACTTAAGCTTCCTCGTGGTTTCTGCTTTCTTTACTAATTTGCTCCAAGCAAGGAGAAAAGAGACACTGAGTAACACCTTAATAATGAAACATTTCTTGGTTTGGGCAA